GACATGCAATCAACAGTTTGGCTGTATGTCTGTCATATGTACACGTTTAAAATACAATTCTGTATATTGCAGAGACAAATGCCATTTCTTCTTGACTGAGGTGTATTCCGTCTGCCTGAACGTTCTTGTCTCAGAGACAATATATGTATATAAGCATAAACTATTCACAGATGTACAAGTGCATTAGGATAATTATCTCTGTGACACAATATGTGTAACATTTCATAGATTGGTTTATCTTGACATCAGACTACTTTAAACACTGCTCAACACTTTGGCTTTATCATATCAAGACCATCTGTCTTAGGTTTCTCTGTTGCTTCCAAATCAGAAAATATCCACAACACTCTACTCCAATATTTTCTATCATGTTGCATAACATAACAGAGGATATTCATATTTTCTTGTCAAAAAATCTCCAGTGACCCGACAAAATTCATCTTATTTCTTTTAGAATTTAGCATGATAATTTTTTACTACTATAAAAGAACATTTTGCCCTTTTTGGCTTACTTGGAATTAGAAAGTGTAAACTACATGAGAGACACAGTGCAAACTAATGTTTCTGTTGCCATCCCTTGATAATAAGATATTGCCCAAGTTTAGCCTCTTGGGAGAAACACTATTGATCCCTGAAAAATATTTCAATTAAAATATCACATTGACCCTTCTCAGTTTACATGGATAAGAAATAAAATATTCATATTTGACATTTCATAAGATATCGATTTCTATTACTTGACAATATAGTATCTCTCTTGGTTGACAATTACAACATTTTAACCCAAGGTACGTCTGAATAACAAAATTCAAAAATTCAGTAATTGGTCAGAGCCATTTTTTCGAAGTCAAAATCAAAATAGTGGCAAAATGTTAGTTATGTTTTAATAAACATTAAAGACAAATATGTAGCCAAGAACCTGCACAAAGTAATGTGGTAAAGAGGTTACCATTACCATATAACAGGTCAAGGTCAAATGAATTGCCCTTTAACCTAAAGAACATGCAGGTCAAGGTCAAGTTGCCCTTAATGAAAGTTCAAAGTGGTAACCCTGCAATTTAAAACAAAACAAAACAAAAACAGCACATATGCACAACCAAGTTAAAAACAAACAATAACAATGATAAAAGATCATAGTTGAGAACTGGAAAAATAGCATACATGGAATATATGTATCACACTTGGCACTGTTCATGAATCAATGAGTTAGCTGCATTTTCAAACTTCTAAGCTCTACATAATACACATACTTCACAACACTGAACACTTGAAACATATTTGTAAACATATCTGTCAACAGTCACATTTCTTATATAAAAAGGTTTTCTTGCCCAAATATAATTAACCAGACAAGAATGGTTTATGCTGAAATATGTTTTAATGCAGTTAATATAATTCACAAACGTGTCTGTATTTATATTGTCATATTTGAGCAGATAATTTTTAAATTAAAAAAACAAACCTACATACTTGCTTGAAATAGGTAAGTAATAAAACTCATGACACCACTAGTTGTAATATCAAGACTTAACTGCACCTTCTGAGATCACAGTTTGGCAACACTATTTTAACAGCATGACAACCATTAGTCCAGACATTCTAGGTCATTTTTTCACTCAACTTAAAACAAATTGGAACAGAATATATTTCACCATAATGCATTTCTAAAAGGTGCTAAAAACAACATACTTAAAGTCCCAAGCAATCCCAGTCTAGGAAAAATATTTATATTTGCACAATCCAATATGGCCACCAATTATCAATATGACTTCCATATTTCAGATGAAGTTTGATCTTTTTATGAAAAAAACATGTGCTGTATTACTAAATAGCAACATTATGTTTCTAAAAAAGATATTCACAACTACTAACGTTTTTGACTGTTGATAAATCTACAAAAATTCAAGATGGCCACCAATTTCAAGATGGCCAACAAGTTTCCCTAAATGTGTGTTTAGATTGTTGGATCTTTTAACTCTTTTAAGAAATGCATTGCCTGGACTATATGGTGATAATACTGTAATTGCAATAAATACTATATCAACAATGTAACAACTGTTATAATACTATTGCAACACGTAAAAACAATTATAATTACATTGCAACAATGTCACAACTATTGCAATATTATTGCTTTAACTGATAAATTACAAAAGTTATTTCACCAATGATTTTTATGATGACATTGTTATTGCAATACTATTTGAACAATGTAACATCTACTGAGATGCTATTTGAACAATGTAACATCTACTAAGATACTATTTCAACAATGTAACAACTATTGCAATATCAAAATATAATATTTCAATACTAATAATGTCCATAATGATCAGTTTGAAATCATCAAATGTACCATTCTTATGATCCATACAAATGTGTGACATATCATTTGAAAATGCAGCTAATAAATTCAAATGCAAACAAAAAAGTACTTTGCTCTTCTTATTTTGAGAGCATTTATGGTATTGACAATGATTGACTGATTGACTGATTGACAAGTGGTCAATGAAGTTGTATCACAGACAAAAGGCTTCCACCGGGCTAATGTCACCCTGTCAGAATAACAATATAACAATCGGCACATCACACCAACAGTTTGTGTATCGCAGCAGCAAGGTTCTCTACACGTATCACAGTGCACTATGTCCACAATGGATGGATAAGCGGTACTTCTTTACAAGACAGCAGAGAAATGTACAGACGCACTGGAGGAAAATACCATTAATTGGAAGAAAATGCCCACTCTGCCAATTGTAGGACACAGGTGATGAATTTCACTATTTGTTTATGTGTCCTCATGGTTTTATGTAGAGAATAGATGCAGAAAAAAAATATATAGAAAAAAATATAATATTATTCATAGTAGCTACAGCACATCATGAGCACTGATGGGTGTCTGTTATTTCATCCATCAATAATGACCGCTGTCCACATGATCATTGATTCATTCCAGGCTCTAAAGTAATAATCAACAACGTACAGTACACTACATCATATCATTACTCTTCAGGGCCCTCATATTGCCTGCAAGGACCCTGGACCCCTAGTTTTGTAAGTCAAGGTGAAACCATGTGTGCTTCATAGAAGAGAGAAACAACTCATTCATAAATATTCTTATATTAATCAAACATGTATGAAATGAATTCACCCTAACAGCTGAAGATGGTACATTGAGAAAACAATCTAAGTTATGTAAAATAATCACAATAAACTTCAAACCTGGGAAGAATGTTTCATAAATGTTTGTACAAACTTTCTGCTGTGTTCTGTACCTGATCTGACTGCTCGGAAAAGATATTTATGACATTGTAATACTGTTTTCATGTACCTACATTTTGTATTTATATAATCAATACTTGAATTGTACTTCTTATGTCACTGCTAGCAACCTGAGTGTAAGTAAGTTCAGTTCAGTCCAGTCCAGCTAACTCAACATATTATTATATATTATTACATATTATTACATATTATTACAAACACTAAGGTCATAGGGGGGGTACAGGTGGCCCAGTCGTCTAAGGTGCCGCGATTCGCTGAGCAGAGTTGCGTCCCTTGGGCACGCCAGAAACCTATGATTGTGGGTTCGAATCCCGGTTCGCCCCGATTATGTTTCTAGGTTTGTCAGCGCCTTACCCATGCTCATGGGTTTCACCGAAGTGGTAAACGTCTGAGACCTGCATCACTTCGGTCTTTCCTCCCACATATAGCTGACATGCCGTGATGTAACTGGAATACTGTTAAAAGCGGCGTAAAACCCAACTCACTCACTCACTCACAAAGGTCATAGAATTATGAAGGTCCTGTTAGCATATATTGCAAATAAGCTGATTATTGCCAAATATTTCGAAATGTCATCCCACAATTTAAACATATTCAAGAGCTCCTTCACTAGTTTGTATATCAAAAAGTTGAATATCAATAACAAAACAGAATTCTTAACATATCATAACACATTTGATATTGTATAACTCATTAAGTACTGTTTACTCCAGTTGATAGTGTTAAACAGAATATGTGCTAACATAAGTACTTGTCTTGGTTTCACAACAGGTTCTATATTATCTCTGTGACTCAAGTCTCGACTATTTAACACTTACATACGAAATAAAACTATTCTATTTAATAAACAACTACTCTAATATTGAATATAAATTCTGATGATGTTAAACGAGTATAGCACTAAGTTATGCCCGGGATGCAATCTATATCATAAAACATTATAAGGCCAGACTTCTTTAAAACTTGGTTGACAAATCTGCAGACTTAAAAAAAAAGGAAAAGATAAAAAGAAATATGTATATACACATAAAAAACATGTAAAAATATAATATATGAAACCAGAAATAAGTAAAATGTTAAAATCAACTCATTCACGAAATTTGTTGAAAACTTATCTTAAAAACTCCCGCCTCCACTTTTGTTTTTCCTACCTACTCAACATTTTGAGGGAATGAAACAAATATATTTGAAATTTTAATTCAAAAATATACAAACAACCTTCCGACAGGACAGAAATCTGTAAATGACCCCAAAGTCTGACCTAATGGGTTATGGGCAAACTTTTCAACTTTCCTTTCCTAATATACAGTGTAACACTGTCAAACAAGACAGTACCATTTCCAGTGAAATCGTCTGGATACGAAACTCGCCAGATTAATGGAGCTTGAGTTGAAAGGGTTTCTGGAATACTGGAGTCTGACTGTACATACAAACGAGGTAGGGAGATCATTGTGCAGAGGAACTGACTAAATTTATCTGAAAAGTAATAATGTATGAGTAACAACTGATTTATGTTCTAATCATTAAATACAGATCCTATTATTATCATCAACATAAAATTGGTAAAGTTTGTTTGTTTTTTGTTTAACGCCGCACTTAGCAATATTCCAGCTATATGTAAGTATCTGATCTGTAAGTAATCGAATCTGGACCAGACAATCCAGTGATTGACAACATGAGCATCGATCCACGCAATTGGGATCGATGACATGCATCAACCAAGTCAGCGAGCCTAACTACCCGATCCCATTAGTCGCCTCTTACGACAAGCATTGTCGCCTTTTATGGCAAGCATGGGTTGCTAAAGACCTATTCTACCCCAAAATTGCTAAAAAAATAGATACTCTGAACGACACACGTTATCATCATTTTCTAAATTGCTATTCACATCAATATAATTGTATACAAAAACTAATAAACAATGTGAATGTCATACTTATTGATATTGCTGGATTTAACAGAGTATGACATTGTTAGTGAAATTTTACAAAATACTCATCATGAGCTTATCTCAATCAATAACAAAATATTACCTAGATAGAGAAGAAAACTAAAATCCTATATGTCTAACTCATTGATATCACAATAGGTCAATGTGACTGCTTGCACTTGATAAATGCGATTATTATTACATGTTTTATCAATTTTTAAACAGTATAATATTTTGTTATAAATGCATGACATTATGTTTAAACATTTACCTGATACAAAATCAAACTATAGAAAAGAGTTGAAAAAAATAAAATCTGCCTACAATGGTTTCAAAAATAATAATATCAAAACATACTAATATCTCATATTTATGTTTAATTTTCAGATAATAATTTCTAGGTACATTATATTACGCATGGTATAAACATATACTGAAGGAAAGAAATAAGGGAACATTATAAGCACAGATTACTGCTATGTTAGACATATTGCCTTGTATAACAAACAAGATCAAGACGAAGTGTTAGAATTGACACTACCCAGCTTAAGAGGATCTTGTCCTCTCAGCACTACGACTGTCCTGACTCCCACACTCTAGGACAGACTGACCATAGTGACAAGCTCAGTGTACAGGTACATAATGGTAGTCAGACAAACAATTCCCTGCCTAACTGCTGCCCTACTTCTGTCCATCAGTACAAGACTATTAGTAAACTAATGACATGTTTACCAAGTGGCATCAGACACGTCTTGCTGAAACTTCTAGTCCAGATGATGAAGGCACCATAAACCTGCAGCTAGGGCCAGACAAGAGGAGGTGGGTATTCCTATCTGTAGAGTTAAAAAAACACAGGAATTAGCATTATGAAATTTGAAAATGTTAACTCTAGCTTGACATATAAGTTGGAGGCAATGTCATTTTATAGTTTTACAAAATACTCAGATGTAATATTCAACATTCTACCAGGCACATTAGAAGATCACACACACAGGACACTGCATTCACAAGGTTTCACTGTTCCTAACAATACCTTTCACACAACTTGTTCCTTTTCAACAAGTTTTGTTTTTCCCCACATGAACAATACTTGTCTGTAAAGTTTGGAAACTTCTTTTACTGGGATTAATATGTTTGAAGATTCAGGAATATAGTCAGGGAGCAATAGTTATGACCATTTGTGAATCTGGGAATCTCAACTTGTGGATACTGGCAGGGATAGAAATGTATCTGTTCAAAGTATGCTACAGGTCACTCCTAAAGATGTTTGTTGTCCAAGTGTGCCACCGGGCACTCCTAAAGATGTTTGTTGTCCAAGTGTGCCACCAGGCACTCCTAAAGATGTTTGTTGTCCAAGTGTGCTACCAGGCACTCCTAAAGATGTTTGTTGTCCAAATGTGCCACCGGGCACTCCTAAAGATGTTTGTTGTCCAAGTGTGCTACATGGCACTCCTTAAGACGTTTGTTTTCCTAGAGTGTGTCCAGTTTCCTAGTTTCCTAGTTTCATCTTATTCAACAAAACCACACTGACATGGGCTCCATCTTCAAAAACAATCTGATGAAAGCCAATGCACTATGATTGCAGTCTTGACAAGTATCTCTTAGATAAGCATGCACACTTTCATTCATGTAACTTTAGTAGTTTCTGAGAAAACTTGTCCCCAATTCACGCAGTATGCACTAAGTTGTAGGCCAGGGCAAGGGCCATAACTCTATGAATTTCCAACACCAATTTTAGAACTCATTTGAGACCATGACTAGTAACATTAGTGTGTAAAATTTCATTTGTCTGACTTAAAAAGTTTTGAGAAAACTTGTCCCCTTTGAGAAGTGGACTGACAGATGGAAGGACAGAAGGACGGACAGATGGAAGGACAGAAGGACGGACAAACTCTGATCCTATATCCCCCACCTCACTTCGTGGCGGGGGATAATAATAGGGCTGGGACAAGTCCAAATTAACTACCCAGGTACCCACCCCCTATTACCCGACCCTACCCGGGGACCCACCCCCTATTACCCGACCCTACCCGGGTAACAACCCCCTATTACCCGACCCTACCCGGGTACCCACCCCCTATTACCCGACCCTACCTGGGTACCCACCCCCTATTACCCGACCCTACCCGGCTACCAACTATAGGTCTCAAGAGTTAGGTACAAAATGTCCAATTGGAATTTTTTTACCATAGCCCTGGCAAAACATTATTCATGTATTAAACAATCTGGTCATGCATACACTGAAGTTGACATAAGTTATATCTTTATTCAAAAATATGAAAAGTCAGAAGGAATGGGTGCATATTCAGAAATGCAAACATTAGTGACTTGTAATATAACCATAGAGTTACAGATAATTTTTGTCATTAAACAATATATCACATGACTTTACCACGGGTCCGGGTAGTCCGGTGGGTACCCAGGTCCTACTCAGTACCCAGCCGACCCAGGTACCTGGTTTACTATCCTAGCCCTAGATAATAAACTACACTCTGTCTGTTGAACTTATTTCAACATGACAAAAACAAATAAAAAACAATCAATTCTTGAGTTAACAACACCAAAAAAACAAAAGTAATTTAAACTAAAAAAAACACCCATCAATGCCAAATTGATGTCACCTTATCAACTTTGATCATTACATAAAACATCGAGTTTAAAAATACCCCATATCATGATTAAAGATTTATGGCACCAAGATTTATAGGCTCAAGCCAAGCAGTTGCTACGATCATGACACTGTTTATTTGGCACTGGAGCTGCCAATCTCAATCTAGCCAGATCACAATTATGACAGCTTTACAATGCTGAAATCTGCACTGTTTAGCCAAGCAGGTGATTATTTTCTCATAAATCATCCCCAAATGCCACAATAGCCAATTGATTTTTGTTGCTTGTAAACAGCATGTGCTTCTTAAGGAGAAATCCGTTTCACCTTGGTGAAAGGCGATCATATCGTCTGTGATAGTGTCAGCGCAGTTGATGTCAAACACGTGCTACACTTCACATGCAGTGACCAGCTCGTGGTTCAATAGCACTCCAAAGTAACCAATGACAAAAAATGCCTCAAAATCAGCTGGTACAAATTTCTGGTACAGAAGGGTACCGTATTCAACGTAATAAGTGCCCTGCTCTAATAAGCGCCCATGGCGATACTCGCTAATATATTGGCTAGTGAACAATCCCAATTAGCACCCCTTCCGATTGTTCAATGTATACAAGACTTATTTATTCGTGTATAATACATGTGTTATATGCATCCTTAATTCTGGAAAAATATATCTGTCGAATATAAACATTTCAGGCTGTCAGCATAAACCACAAAATTTACGATCTTTCAACTCTGTTGTTTTTCACCAAAATAATATTCTATTAAGAGCCCCCATTCTAATTTTGAGCGCGCCCTGGGCGCTTATTATGTCAAATACGGTATATGTTTTCTCTTTCCCCTATATTTTTTTCTATTTTGTGATTTTTAAATTGTGGTCTAAATTTTGTGTTAAGAAATTTGGGGAATTGTTCAAGAAGTTCCAACAAATGCATAAATTCTCCTGAAATTCTCAACAAACTGAGTTAAAACGTCAATGAATCTAAAATGTTTTTGATAATAGTAAGTGAGTTTGGTTTTACACCCTTTAGTAATATTCAAGCTTGAATATCACGGCGGGGGACATGAGAAATGGGATTCACACATTGTATCCATGCAGGGGATTGAACCTAGATCTTTGGCGCAAACACAAACCATTAGGCTACCCCACAGCCACTTTTCAATAATAGTTGCTTGGCAGTTATATACCCCAATTACTCTACTGTTTTCTGTGATATCCACTAGCAAGTATGGACTGTCATGTAATATTATATGTTTCGGTCTTACTGAGTAGGGTACCCTTATAAAGATTACCTGCAGACTGGTTTAGAAATTATTCAGGGGTGCTTATTGAAGCAGGGTGCTTAATACAGCGATACACTACTTCTCAGGATTATGTAAAAAACATAAAACTAAATTATTTTGGGACATATTTTCAATGGAAATAAGAATTCTTAGCTTACAAAACAAATTATTTCCAATTGAATTATCTGCATTCATCTAAACTTAAGTAATCAAAATAACATTTTTATCATTATGGTTGGTTGGTTGGTTGTTTAATGCCGCACTCAGCAATATTCCAGCTATATGACGGCGGTCTGTAAATAATTGAGTCTGGACCAGACAATCCAGTGATTAATATCATGAGCATCGATCCACACAATTGGGATTGATGATATGCATCAACCAAGTCAGCGAGTCTGATCACCCGATCCTGTTAGTCGCCTCTTACGACAAGCATTGTCGGCTTTTACAGCAAGCATTTATAAATGTCTTTAAATGGCATTTAGAAGTGATACACAAAAGGAAGAACATTTATTGATGTCAATTCTTTATTATAAGTAACACAATGATTTGGAGTATATACTTACTCCTTCATCAGGTGAAAAAATACTATGAGGCAGAGAACACATACGTACCTGTAGGAATAAATAAAAGTAATAAGATAACAAAGGTGGAAACCTAACAAGGGAAGCAAACAGTTACTTGACGCTGATAGGTGATTAGCAATGGACAAATGGAAGCCAACACTTAACACTTAATTAGCGCTGATGGTTGATACCGATGGAGAACTGGAAGATAGGACTTAAATTATCAGTGATACCACCTGATGAAGGAGTAAGCATATACTCCGAAACTTTGTGTTCCTCATAATAAAGAAGTTGACGTCAATAAATTCTCTTCATTGTGATTATTATTTCCCAGCTAATCAGGATTTGTTCCTGAGCTTGTGATTGTGTAAACAAAGCAGAATAATCTCCATTAACTAGTCTCACTTACGTACATAAGTACCGGCCAGCGTGTACTGACACACACAGCTTTCAATGAGGTTGTTGTTCTCCATGTTTGCCAATTTGCTGCCAATGCATAATAGCCATTCGTGGGCATGGCCCAGGTAACACTGTTAACTAGCCCAGCTATTCAATTTGGTGTCCACTTGGCGAAGACATTCGACGCGATTTCTATGGAGGTGACATGTGTATATACACACATGGGGACTTGGCTTTGTCAAATTTGGACAAAAAATGAAACCATTTTAGCTTGTTTAATCATAAAAGGAACACCTCACTCAACAAAATCCACCTAAAACCACCCCAGAGAAAATAAGAGAAAAAACGGACGAAATGACCTGAAAATGGATTAAAGATATGTACAAAAGGGGTAAATTCCCTGGTTTGTTTGGTCACATACTCCCACAATAAAGGGGGCCTAGTTCAAGGGGCATGAGGCTCTGCGGAATTGGCAGTCAAAGCAACTTTAAAGTCGTGAATACTCCACCTTGTTTGCATTTATTACATTTTTAGGATAAAAAAGTTAATGATTTCCCCTTCCCAAAATAAAAAAAATGAAAAAAGAACATAAAATATATATATACTGGAACTGAACTGTCAAATGTACAATGGGCCACGAGGCCTAAACAACTGTCTATCTGATTTCCCCAAATGACATCAAGACAAGGCTCCTATCTTCAGGGCTCGACTTCAAATGGGCACCCAGTTGAGGAAAATAGCCCTTAAATAGGATTTCTCTTTTTAACTTGTTTGTTTGTTAATACCTCACACAGCAATATTCCAGCTATATGTCGTCAGTCTGGCAATAATCGATCCTGGACCAGACAATCCAGTGACTGATATCTCAGCATCTATCCACACAATTGGGATACAATAACATGCATCAACCAAGTCACCAAGCCTGACCACCTGATTCTTTCCGTCGCCCCTTACAACAAGCATGGTTTGCTGGGGA